TGGTTTTGTTTTGGTTTGGTTGGTTTGGTTTGGTTTGGTTGGTTTGGTTTGGTTTGGTTTGGTTAGGTTTGGTTTGGTTTGTTTAGGTTTGGTTTGGTTTGGTTGGGTTTGTTGGGTTTGGTTTGGTTTGGTTAGGTTTGGTTTGGTTTGGTTGGGTTTGGTTTGGTTTGGTTTGTTTTGGTTGGTTAGGTTTGGTTTGTTTTGGTTTGGTTTGTTTTGGTTTGGTTTGGTTTGTTTGGTTTTAGTTTGGTTGTTTTGGTTTGGTTAGGTTTGGTTTTGTTTTGGTTTGGTTTGTTTTGGTTTGGTTAGGTTTGGTTTGTTTTTGGTTTTGGTTTGTTTTGGTTTGGTTTGTTTTGGTTTGGTTTGTTTTTGGTTTGGTTTGTTTAGGTTTGGTTTGTTTGGTTTGGTTTGGTTTTAGGTTTGGTTTGTTTAGGTTTGGTTTGGTTTTGGTTTGGTTTGGTTTGTTTTGGTTTGGTTTGGTTTGTTTTGGTTAGGTTTGGTTTGGTTTGTTTTGGTTTGGTTTGGTTTGGTTTGGTTTGTTTTGGTTTGGTTTGTTTTGGTTTGGTTTGTTTTGGTTTGGTTTGTTTAGGTTTGGTTTGTTTAGGTTTGGTTTGGTTTGTTTAGGTTTGGTTTGGTTAACATTAGGTTTGGTTAGGTTAGGTTAGGTTAGATATCTCAAATTGGATGGGAAGCCTGATGTATAATAGCGTTAATTATACATGAATTATACATCACCTGAGTATAACACCTTACATCTCATTCCTTATATAAACAATTACAATAATGAATAAAGACCATTGGTTAAAACTTTATGGAATTCTCTTTTAACATCTTTATGTGTGACTTTAAAACCACATTAAAAAAAAACTGAGACATTTGTGAGAGTTTGGGAATGGGAATGGTAGTGGGAATGATGGCAATGGGAATGGTAGTGGGAATGATGGGAATGGTAGTGGAAATGATGGCAATGGGAATGGTAGTGGGAATGATGGCAATGGGAATGGTAGTGGGAATGATGGCAGTGGGAATGGTAGTGGGAATGATGGCAATGGGAATGATAGTGGGAATGATGGCAATGGGAATGGTAGTGAGAATGATGGCAATGGGAATGGTAGTGGGAATGATGGCAATGGGAATGGTAGTGGGAATGATGGCAATGGGAATGGTAGTGAGAATGATGGAAGAGAGAGACGCGGCCATATTGTTTACTTCACCATTAGAAACAGGTGGAGCATCGGGGAGACTAAAGATGGTGTGGAAGGAGTGGGGAGAAATGAAGGGAGAGAAGAACAAGGAAGTAGGGAGGTTTATTGGGTAGGGGAGAGTAAGGTAGTGGGGCAAGGGAGAGGTAGAGTATGAAGGGGAGGTAAGAGGGGGAGAGGAGGGTATGTAGTGAGGAAGGGGTAGAAGAGAAGGGAGTATGGTAGTAGGGGGAGTAAAGGGAAGGGGAGAAAGAGGAGGAGGGAAGGGAAGTGATTTTGGGGCGCAAGGAGGAGGCACGAGGGGAGGGAGGAGCTTATGTGGAACGAGTTGTGATTATCGATGGTCTGCGCTCAGTTTGGTCTTGGTGGGGTAAGGAAGCAGAAGGCCACCACCACTGCCACTACTAGCTGAAGAAGTAGCAGAAGAAGGCCATCACCGCCACTGCCACTACTAGCTGAAGAAGTAGCAGTAGCTGAAGAAGTAGCAGAAGCCACCACCGCCACTGCCACTACTAGCTGAAGAAGTAGCAGAAGAAGGCCACCACCGCCACTGCCACTACTAGCTGAAGAAGTAGCAGAAGGCCACCACCACCACCACTGCCACTAGCTGCAGAAGGCCACCACCGCTACTGCCAGCTGAAGAAGTAGCAGCAGAAGGCCACCACCGCCACTGCCACTACAGCTGAAGAAGTAGCAGAAGAAGGCCACCACCGCCACTGTCACTACTAGCTGAAGAAGTAGAAGCAGAAGGCCACCACCGCTACTGCCACTACTAGCTGAAGAAGTAGCAGCAGAAGGCCACCACCGCCACTGCCACTACTAGCTGAAGAAGTAGCAGCAGAAAACCGCCACTGCCAATTGAAGAGCCAGCCTGCCACTACTAGCTGAAGTAAAGAAGGCCACCACCGCCACTGCCACTACTAGCTGAAGAAGTAGCAGAAGGCCACACCGCCACTGCCACTACTAGCTGAAGAAGTAGCAGAAGAAGGCCACCACCGCCACTGCCACTACTAGCTGAAGAAGTAGCAGCAGCCACCACCGCCACTGCCACTACAAGCTGAAGAAGTAGCAGCAGAAGTCCACCACCGCCACTGCCACTACTAGCTGAAGAAGTAGCAGCAGAAGTCCATCACCGCCACTGCCACTACTGCTGAAGAAGCTACTAGCTGAAGAAGTAGCAGAAGAAGGCCACCACCGCCACTGCCACTACTAGCTGAAGAAGTAGCAGAAGAAGGCCACCACCGCCACTGCCACTACTAGCTGAAGACGTGGCAGCCCACCACCACCACTGCCACTACTAGCTGAAGAAGTGCAGAAGGCCACCACCACCGCTACTGCCACTACTAGCTGAAGAAGTAGCAGAAGAGCCGCCACCACCGCCACTGTCACTACTAGCTGAAGAAGTAAGCAGAGGCCACCACCGCTACTGCCACTACTAGCTGAAGAAGTAGCAGCAGAAACCGCCACTGCCAGAAGTAGCAGCAGAAGGCCACCACCGCCACTGCCACTACTAGCTGAAGAAGTAGCAGAAGAAGGCCACCACCGCCACTGCCACTACTAGCTGAAGAAGTAGTAGAAGGCCACCACCGCCACTGCCACTACTAGCTGAAGAAGTAGAGAAGGAGGCCATCACCGCCACTGCCACTACTAGCTGAAGAAGTAGCAGAAGAAGGCCACCACCGCCACTGCCACTACTAGCTGAAGAAGTAGCAGCAGAAGGCCACCACCGCCACTGCCACTACAAGCTGAAAAGTAGCGCAAGTCCACCACCGCCACTGCCACTACTAGCTGAAGAAGTAGCAGCAGAAGTCCACCACCGCCACTGCCACTACTGGTTGAAGAAGTAGCAGCAGAACTCCCACCACCGCCACTGCCTACTAGCTGAAGAAGTAGCAGCAGAAGCCCACCACCGCCACTGCCACTACTAGTTGAAGAAGTAGCAGCAGAAGCCCACCACCGCCACTGCCACTACTAGCTGAAGAAGTGCAGCAGAGAGGCCACCACCACCACTGCCACTACTAGCTGAAGAAGTAGCAGCAGAAGCCCACCACCGCCACTGCCACTACTAGGTTGAAGAAGTAGCAGCAGAAGTCCACCACCGCCACTGCCACTACTAGCTGAAGAAGTAGCAGCAGAGGCCACCACCGCCACTGCCACCACCGCCACTGCCACTACTAGCTGAAGAAGTAGCAGCAGAGGCCACCACCGCCACTGCCACTACAAGCTGAAGAAGTAGCAGCAGAATCCACCACCGCCACTGCCACTACTAGTTGAAGAAGTAGCAGCAGAAGGCCACCACCGCCACTGCCACTACTAGCTGAAGAAGTAGCAGCAGAAGGCCACCACTGCCACCGCCACTACTAGCTGAAGAAGTAGCAGAAGAAGTCCACCACCGCCACTGCCACTACTAGCTGAAGAAGTAGCAGCAGAAGCCCACCACCGCCACTGCCACTACTAGCTGAAGAAGTAGCAGAAGAAGGTCACCACCACCACTGCCACTACTAGCTGAAGAAGTAGCAGCAGAAGCCCACCACCGCCACTGCCACTACTAGCTGAAGAAGTAGCAGAAGAAGCAGAAGCAAGGACACCACCAGAGGAGAACTACCACCGCCGCAACAAACAAATAAACAGCAAACAACAACAGCAGGTGAGTGGTGAGTAACATTTGTTTATGTTTCACACACACACACACACACACACACACACACACACACACACACACACCACACACACACACACACACACACACACACACACACACACACACACACACACACGTTGACGGAGACGAGGTGGTGTACGATGGTGATTATTCGTGTCAATATCCTCAACAGGAGCAAGTTGACGGATTGAGAAGGAATTGACGAAATAGAACGAGTTGACAGGTTAGGGGGAAGCTGATGGATTAGGGGGAAGCTGATGGATTAGGGGGAAGCTGATGGATTAGAATGAAAGTTGATGGATTATGAGAAAATTGACAGATCATGAAAATAAGTGAGACAGGATAGTTGTTTCAGTGTGGGAAGAGAGCGAAACACCTGTCTATCTATTGTTTAGCATTTTATCCGCTGATTCTATATGGGGTGTCTAATCTTCAGGTGAAATAAGCTTAGGTGTATAATCTTCAGGTGAAATAAGCTGGGGTGTCTAATCTTCAGGTTAAATAAGCTTAGGTGTATAATCTTCAGGTGAAATAAGCTGGGGTGTCTAATCTTCAGGTTAAATAAGCTTAGGTGTATAATCTTCAGGTGAAATAAGCTTAGGTGTATAATCTTCAGGTGAAATAAGCTGGGGTATCTAATCTTCAGGCGAAATAAGCTGGGGTGTCTAATCTTCAGGTGAAATAAGCTTAGGTGTATAATCTTCAGGTGAAATAAGCTTAGGTGTATAATCTTCAGGTGAAATAAGCTGGGATGTCTAATCCTCTCGTCATCCTTTGTTTCACACTTAAATATTTGTTACTTATATATTTGACATTCTTACATTCATTCACTTACAAAGAAAGCTGTTGGATATTTTTTTCAATGAGTATTACCTGTTACTTATAATATCTCACATTAATTTACTTTACTTTCTGTTGTGATTCTTATTTCAAGTTTCTCTGTTATGACCCACGAACCCCAAGATTCAGAATCGTGAATCCGAAGCATATTTATCGACAGAATAATGCATCTGTGTCTACTGCTTCGGGTTCATGTGAGTGTTAATCTCGGGGTTCGTGGTTCAGCAGGAGAGGCGGTAGGACTTTTGTGGGGGGAATGTACAAGTGAGTGTCGAGCCTTCGTTAAGTTGCAGATGGATCCTGAAGAGGCACAAGGGCAGGATCACCCGAGGAGTAGGAGGACTTGTTTGAGGTCCTTCAGGATGTCGTATGGTCCTGTTTTGTTCCTGGTCGCCTGTGGTGGGTGGATGGGTGTAGGACTGTCCGCCATAGTCACGTCTGAGGGGATCTACGGCGTCTCAGACATGTACTATGAAAACGCGATTGTCCATTCCTCTATGCGCACGGAAGAGAGACTCTTGGAGACGTATTATCCAACTTCAGGTGAGTCATCTTACATCTCGGCTCTGAGGAACATTAACACAAAGTTAATATGTTGTGAAATAGTCGGGTAATATGGAACTATTGATTTACTTGGTCTGCTTAATCGGGTTTGTTGTGTACAGTATTACGCTTGGATGACAGTATGGTTAGATGGATAGAGATATTTGTAGAATTAAACTTTTTTAAGGTCATATTCAAAGAACAAACAATTAATGTGTATTATCTGGGTCTGATTATCTATATCGTTGAGGTTTTCACCTTGTTGTTATATATTTCATCAGTTTAAAGACTTAGCATCATGTACAGTAGAATATTTTGCTGTTCCAACAGGAATATCAGTACAGCAGATGTTGTTGATGTGTCACCGGCGCTGTATTCAGCACAGCAACTGTCACTCCTTCATCTTCAACGCCTCTGGAAACTACTGTAGGCTCACCACCTACGACCGCTGTGCCGATTCCTTGCCGATCTTGTATAAGAAGGATGGTATGAAAACCTTCGACGTCAGACCTGGACACTTGCCAAAGCCTATCAGAACCTGTTTCACTGAGTGCCTTCAGGGTGACTGTTGGATATGTGGAAGGCTTCACTGCCAGGGGGAACATTGTGATGACTGTGCCCATAACTGTTGGAACGAACAATTGAAAAATAAAACTGCTTACCTTCTCTTGTGGAAGACTGAAGCTCTGACGTTAACCAGTAAATACCACTGTGACCGCGGCTGGCAAAAAATCTGGAGATTCAAGAAGGATGAGAGTTCAATAACAAAGTCCTTTATGTATGATTTGTTGTGGGTAAATCCGCTGTCGCTGAGGCTGCGTGTCGTCTACGATGACTTCACCGTGTACTCTTACTTTGCCAACTTCAGTTACTCCTCCAAAATTATCGGAGTTGGGAACTTCCTCGGTGGCGACGCAGGCAACTACTGGCAAGCGCCCTTTGAAAACTTGAACCTGAAGACCACCTGTCCGCTCTTCCACTCCGTCGACTATAACTGTACCTCGGATGGCGACGGATTGTACTCAAACTTGACGTGGCTCACCGGCAACGACACTCTCGACAGCAAAATCTTGACCGAGGTCGATATATGGGTCACAGCTGTGGGCGAGGAATGGTACGACCAGGCTTATCCTTGGGTCGTCTAGAGCAGCACCACCTTGACCAAACGGCGCCGACAACATTACTACTTGGAACAACACTATTGCCAAGTTAACATAACCGGGGAAGCTCTCTCTCTCTCTCTCTCTCTCTCTCTCTCTCTCTCTCTCTCTCTCTCTCTCTCTCTCTCTCTCTCTCTCTCTCTCTCTCTCTCTCTCTCTCTCTCTCTCACTTGGTAACGTCACATGTTCCTCTGAGTTAGCTAACAGTTATAAATAATTTCCTTGGTTTTCCACTCTTTTATCAGCTATGTTTATCATCTCCATATTATTTCAATATTCTCATAATGGCACCCTGTTGTGTGGACCAATGTTTATATTGTACTTGTGAAGGAAACACTCTTGTGCTTGTGAAATGTGCATGCATAGGTGACTGCTGGTAGAGGTAAATGCTTGTTGTTCATATTATAAGTATTATAATGCACACCTGTAACTGTTGCTTTAAGTATTATAAAGCACACCTGTAACTGTTGCTTTAAGTATTATAAAGCACACCTGTAACTGTTGCTTTAAGTATTATAAAGTACACCTGTAACTGTTGCTTTAAGTATTATAAAGCACACCTGTAACTGTTGCTTTAAGTATTATAAAGCACACCTGTAACTGTTGCTTTAAGTATTATAAAGCACACCTGTAACTGTTGCTTTAAGTATTATAAAGCACACCTGTAACTGTTGCTTTAAGTATTATAAAGCACACCTGTAAATGTTGCTTTAAGTATTATAAAGCACACCTGTAACTGTTGTTTGAAGTATTATATATGCACACCTGTAAATGTTGCTTTAAGTATTATAAAGCACACCTGTAACTGTTGCTTTAAGTATTATAAAGCACACCTGTAAATGTTGCTTTAAGTATTATAAAGCACACCTGCACACCTGTAACTGTTGTTTTATTATAAAGCACACCTGTAACTGTTGCTTTAAGTATTATAAAGCACACCTGTAACTGTTGTTTTAAGTATTATAAAGCACACCTGTAACTGTTGCTTTAAGTATTATAAAGCACACCTGTAACTGTTGCTTTAAGTATTATAAAGCACACCTGTAACTGTTGCTTTAAGTATTATAAAGCACACCTGTAACTGTTGCTTTAAGTATTATAAAGCACACCTGTAACTGTTGCTTTAAGTATTATAAAGCACACCTGTAACTGTTGTTTGAAGTATTATAAAGCACACCTGTAACTGTTGCTTTAAGTATTATAAAGCACACCTGTAACTGTTGTTTGAAGTATTATAAAGCACACCTGTAACTGTTGCTTTAAGTATTATAAAGCACACCTGTAACTGTTGCTTTAAGTATTATAAAGCACACCTGTAACTGTTGCTTTAAGTATTATAAAGCACACCTGTAACTGTTGTTTGAAGTATTATAAAGCACACCTGTAACTGTTGTTTGAAGTATTATAAAGCACACCTGTAACTGTTGTTTGAAGTATTATAAAGCACACCTGTAACTGTTGTTTGAAGTATTATAAAGCACACCTGTAACTGTTGTTTGAAGTATTATAAAGCACACCTGTAACTGTTGTTTTAAGTATTATAAAGCACACCTGTAACTGTTGTTTGAAGTATTAACTTCTGTCATCTCAATATCATGTACACCTGCAAACGTCTGTCAATTAAACATGTAGACAAGTTAAATATATATTACTATTATCTTTTTCCGTGTCTTAACTCATACACGTCATACAGGTGGTGTCTTAACTTATCATACACGTCATACAGGTGGTGTCTTAACTTATCATACACGTCATACAGGTGGTGTCTTAACTTATCATACACGTCATACAGGTGGTGTCTTAACTTATCATACACGTCATACAGGTGGTGTCTTAACTTATCATACACGTCATACAGGTGGTGTCTTAACTTATCATACACGTCATACAGGTGGTGTCTTAACTTATCATACACGTCATACAGGTGGTGTCTTAACTTATCATACACGTCATACAGGTGGTGTCTTAACTTATCATACACGTCATACAGGTGGTGTCTTAACTTATCATACACGTCATACAGGTGGTGTCTTAACTTATCATACACGTCATACAGGTGGTGTCTTAACTTATCATACACGTCATACAGGTGGTGTCTTAACTTATCATACACGTCATACAGGTGGTGTCTTAACTTATCATACACGTCATACAGGTGGTGTCTTAACTTATCATACACGTCATACAGGTGGTGTCTTAACTTATCATACACGTCATACAGGTGGTGTCTTAACTTATCATACACGTCATACAGGTGGTGTCTTAACTTATCATACACGTCATACAGGTGGTGTCTTAACTTATCATACACGTCATACAGGTGGTGTCTTAACTTATCATACGTCATACAGGTGGTGTCTTAACTTATCATCATACAGGTGGTGTCTTAACTTATCATACACGTCATACAGGTGGTGTCTTAACTTATCATACACGTCATACAGGTGGTGTCTTAACTTATCATACACGTCATACAGGTGGTGTCTTAACTTATCATACACGTCATACAGGTGGTGTCTAATCATACAGGTTTATTATGTCTAATTACTTACCTGCTACTGAAGGACGAGTGATGAGTTTTTAGTTCCTCGTTATAATAGTTTCCTGGTGGAGGGAAAAAAACGGTGAAGATACAGTTAACGTTGAGCCTGTGACCTGACTCAGTCGTAGGTGAGTCTTCTTCACCAGCGGGCGTGATGAAGTCTGCTCAGTTGTCTCTCCTCCTTATGGGCGTGGTTGAGGGCGTGGTGTTACGTCCGTTTATAAAGAATCTTTGTCCCGTCTCCCAGCATGTGGACAAGAACGTCACAGCGATGGATCAGGTGAGATTCTTATGACTGTCTCCCGCTAGTGTGTAGAGGAGGTGTAGCGGTGGTCGAATAAGAGGGGAAGAGGGAGACTGAGAGAATAGGATTAATAGAGAGAAAATCATGAATAAAAAAATGATAAATAGAATAAAATGACGGTAGATGTAAGTTATCAGCAAACACCAGAAAGAGACGAAGAAGTACTAGTATCTGACACTGAAAACTTTAGGCATTAGGAGGAAGTAAAGAGCCGAGAGAGGGGGATATATGAGACGTATTCTCTGGTGATGGGACTTACAACATGCAGCAACTTTGTCCCGCAGAAGCCAGACACATCTTATGAACTTCATCACGTAATTTGTGTAGACCTTGTCACTGATGGCCAGGGCGTCCTACTTACCTACACCTACTTGGCTACATCCCCCCCAAAAAAATCAACGCAATGATTCTGGCAAGAGACACCTACCTTGAACTTCACGAGAGTAAGGGAGAACTTTGGTGTGTTTTTTCACGTATTCCTTGGATTCAGGGTGGAAGAAAGTGTTTTTGTCAAGAAGAAAATCACATAATGGCCGAAAAAGGTTTGTCAAGAAAAAATCACAAAATGGCTGTGTAATGAAGTTGAATGAATAAATTAATTTGAAACGGAAATTTTTCAACCTGCAAATGAATTGAAACTAAAATGAGGTTATAATGTAGAAATAGATATAAGATTAGTAGGACTATATTTTGTTAATGTAAATGTGACTTAAGGTTGTGAGGAACTTTAGCAGACGAAATGATTTGGAAATAATAATGACTCGTGTTAATATTTCTCGTTTACATACATCTAGTGATTATTATTTATTTAATTTTATTTTTATTTACTTTTTTATTATTGTATTTATGTTTTCTTTTGTTTATTGTTTATTTATTCGTTTATTGTATGCGTGTATAGAACGAAACCTCCATATAAGGGACTTTTTCTCAGTATAATCCGCTAGATGGGGGGGTTTCACATATAACGGACTCTCGATATAACGGATTTTTCTACATATAGTCCATTAAATAGGGGTTTTACTATAGGGGATTAATATACACAGAGAATAAAGTTGATAATTGGAGAAAGATAGGGAGAGAGAAATAAGAAATAGAGAGAAAGTGAAGAGAGAGAGAGAGAGTAAAGAAAGAAGCTTGAGAAAGAAGACACAGAAAATAAAGATAAGGAGAGAAAATAGAGAAAGAAAAAAAGCGAGAGAAGGAAAAAAGAAAGAGGGTAATTATTAAAATATTAAAAAAGAGAAAATCAAAATGATAATAAACAGTAAAATAGAAGAAAGAAAGAAAGAAAGAAAGAAAGAAAGAAAGAAAGAAAGAAAGAAAGAGAGAGAGAGAGAAAACAATCACAATAATCCTATATGTATAAAGAAAAAAACAAAAGCTTGAATACCTGGATCATGGGACATAAATAGCTATTCTAATTTTCCTTTGTTATTTCTTGAAGGCGGAAGCGAAACAAAGTCTCTATATATAAACAAAAATAATAATACAAATTAGTTCCAGAATGTTTCAAGCACCAACTAACAGGAATTGAGACACGCACACACACAGACGTACACTGACACACACACAGATATATATACACACAGATAAATTCATACACACATACCTATATTTCCTCACCAGTTTGTCTTAATTTATAATCTTCCTCTCTTGAACTATAAATATTTCTCAGTGATTAACTCGGTAGAATTATAATTGATGTGTAGTAATTGTGTATTTGTTATATAATTACTGTAGTGGGAAGTATTATATTGTTCTATAATGTCTCAATATATATTCTGTTTAATATTCCTTTATTTCCGTTAACTTCTATATTATCTCTGAGTCATTATTTTATCCTATTTTATTTATACTTTCAAAATTTTTATGTCAGTGATGTTATTTCATCTATTGTAAAATTTCAAAACTTTTTATATCATTGGTAACTTTTTTCTGGCTGAGGTCATAATTTATATCCATAATATATATTTTTTTTGTGTTAGGTTCCCAAAGTTGAGTTTATTGGGGTAGTATTGTTATTGTTATTGTTGTTGTTGTTGTTGTTATTGTTGTTGTTGTTGTTGTTGTTGTTATTGTTATTGTTGTTGTTGTTGTCTTCCTCTGTTTTCATTCACTACTTCGCCTTTGTTATTATTATCAGTTAACAAGTGTATAATGCTATCATGTTTTACAGTGTATGGAGGGATTTTTTTTTTTATCAAGTATTATTGATTAGTAATGAATATTTATCTCTATTTGGTGGTAACTTTAATTCGATTTTAAAATACCTAAAAAAGAAAGAAGGTTATCTCTCTTTAATTTGATACACACACACACACACACACACACACACACACAGGTGGTCATTCCACTTACCCAACAGCCAAAGGTCAACTCACTTAAATACAGTATTAAAGGTAGTTGGACACCTGCCACATCACAGCCCAGGTGGAGGAGTTAATTACAGTAGATTTTTAAACGAGTGATATTGGAGTTATGTGATATAGGGTAGAAGGGAATCGTACACAGTTCTCACGCCAGGGGCACTGAAGGTGGTGAGGTGGTTGTAGTGTAATGGTGGTGGTGGTGGTGTTAGTATATGTGTACTGATAATTACCTGCTCTAGTACACATTCTTCTCCACAGGTAAGTAAAAAAAATATATTAAATTTTTATCATGTCCTAAAATTTTAAACTAACAGAATAAAAATAAAATAAAATTAATAACAGTTTTTATACATTTAGAGAAGTTTATTAATTGTTTGGTTTACACACATGTGCATCTATATACACCAAACATAGTGTATAGTTTTCTACATGTACACACGAAAATATATATTGATTCTAACTCTGTAGGTCCAGGCTTTATGTAAACCTATTTAAGAAAATGTATTAATGATTCAAAGATCAAATAATGCTGTTTTTGTAGTCTATGTGTGTGTGTGTGTGTATGTATGTATGTATATATGTGTGATTTTGTATGTATGTATGCTTATGTGTATGTGTGTAGTTAATACTTGTGTGCTTATGTATGTGTAAGTATGTACAGTCGGCCACAGGAATAAGTATACTGTAGCTGTAAGGCCTGAAAATGGTCTGGTAACGTTGAAACTGTGCATCCAGACGCATGATGAGACACAGCTCCCCCCCCACCTGTTATCTCTAACTTTTTATTGTTTCCCCTTCTTTATTCTTCTATTTACTCCTCTTCCTTCCTTTACTAATCCAAACATCAGTAAACAAAAAGTAGGGAAAGAGAAAAAGTGGGGGAGGAGGAGGAGGGAGCTGTACGATAACTGCGCTCCCATTCGGCAACAAGTTTACGACCATTGGATACAATATATTACTTAAGAACATAAGACACTAGTAAAACATTCACAACAAATGTATTTATAACATATATGTAAGAATAAAACATAAATTACAGGTCATTTTGTAATTTTGTCTGTTGTTCAGGACAGTTTTACCAGATACATTGTCTCAAACACCAGCAGTAGGTGTCTAGTTGTTCTTGTGGCTGACGGTACGTGTGTGTGTGTGTGTGTGTGTACCTTATATCCATATGTGCGTGTGAAGGTGTTTGGTGTGTTTTAGTGGGGCTAATAATCAATCCCATATCGCCACTTGAGACTCCTTTAAGGGAGGGAGGGAGTGAGTGGGTGATGGAGTGAGTGAGGGAGGGAGGGAGTGGGTGATGGAGTGAGTGAGGGAGGAAGGGAGTGGGTGATGGAGTGAGTGACGGAGGGAGGGAGTGGGTGATGGAGTGAGTGAGGGAGGAGGTGGGTGATGGAGGGAGGAGGTGGGTGATGGAGGGAGGAGAGTGGGTGATGGAGTGAGGAGTGAGGGAGGGAGGGAGGGAGTGAATGAGGTGAGGAAGGTGGAAGTGAGTGAGGGACAGACTGAATTAATGAATAAGTGAGTGAGTGAGTGAATTATTTCTTAGTTTCGTTAGTGTTTTTAGAAGTGAATGACCATTAGTGAGCATTAAAGTCAGTGATTTTTAAAGATGACTAATTTTTCTATCAATTATATATATATATATATATATATATATATATATATATATATATATATATATATATATATATATATATATATATATATATATATATATATATATATATATATATATATATATTTTTTTTTTTTTTTTTTTTTTTTTTTTATAGGAGTAAATATTACGTAATTTTTTCGTTGAAGATTTTTTCCCCAAGATTCCTTTTCATATGTGATTTGATTATTTATTTGTTTACTTTTTTCCTCAGAGATTTGTTTTAAGTCTCTTTTTAAGAGTTTATTCCACAAAATTATAAATTTTTAAGTATTTTTTTCTACCGTCACAGAGTTCGGAACTGCATATAGTCTTTCGTCATCAATAACAACTTCAACACAAAACATCGACCAATCGGGAACGTCAACAATTCAGGGATAATGACGTCATTCCCACCAGCCAGGTTATTGGTCGGGATGATTGGTCTGCTGGTGACGTCATTGCTGATGTCACTGGCCACCGGCGAATTATTGATCCAGGATAATGATCGTCGGGAAACCTCGCCTAATTACGCGGCATGGGCAGCTGACCTGGTGAGTATGGCAACCAGGACCTGTAGTGACCTAGTTAATATTACCAGGGGAGGAAGGGGAGAAGAAAAAGGGGGAGATGTAGGTTGGTGGTGGTGTTGCAATGGGAAGGTTAGTGGGAAGGGGAGGTAAACATATATTTGTTCAATCCCAGTGAAAAATAAATACCTCTCTCTCTCTCTCTCTCTCTTACAGAAACCAGGCTTCGTGATCGTCAAACTGCAACAGAACGGCAGACTGTGCTCCTGTAAAGTACCTGTTACCTCACCTCTAATTACTGGACAGGTGACGACAGAGGGACCCACCCAACCTTCAAGTGGATCAGGTCAAGCTTCAGGTGGATCAGGTCAAGCTTCAGGTGGATCGGGTCAAGCTTCAGGTGGATCAGGTCAAGCTTCAGGTGGATCAGGTCAAGCTTCAGGTGGATCGGGTCAAGCTTCAGGTGGATCGGGTCAAGCTTCAGGTGGATCAGGTCAAGTTTCAAGTGGATCAGCTCAAGCTTCAAGTGGATCAGGTCAAGCTTCAGGTGGACCAGCCCAAGCTTCAGGTGGATCATCCAAATCTTCCTCGACTCTCGCCGGATCTTCCTCCTTTTCTTCCTTCACATCGACACTCAACTCTCCGAAAAGTTCATCTGGATTTAACTCGTTGTCTTCCTCCCTAGGCAGTTCCTCCCCATCTTCCTCCCTAAGTAGTTCCCCCCCATCTTCCTCCTAGGCAGCCCTCCCCATCTTCCTCCTAAGTAGTCTTCCCCCCATCTTCCTCCCTAGGCAGTTCCTCCCATCTTCCTCCTAAGCAGTTCCTCCCATCTTCCTCCCAAGTGTTCCCCCATCTTCCTCCTAGACAGTTCCTCCCCATCTTCCTCTCTAGGTAGTTCCTCCCCATCTTCCTCCCCTAGGTAGCTCCCTCCCCATCTTCCTAAGTGGTTCCTCCCCATCTTCCTCCTGCCAAGCAGTTCTTCCCCATCTTCCTCCCTGGTAGCTCCTCCCCATCTCTTCCTCCCCATAAGTAGTTCCTCCCTCATCTTCCTCCCTATGCAGTAAAAGTAGTTTCCTCCCCATCTTCCTCCCTAAGTGTTCTCCCCATCTTCCTCCCCCATCTTCCTCCTAAGTAGTTCCTATCTTCCTCCCCTAAGTAGTTCTCCCCATCTTCCTCCCTAAGTGTTTCCTCCCCATCTTCCTCCCTAAGTAGTTCTCCCATCTTCCCTCCCTCCCCCAGGTAGGTAGCTCCCTCATCTCCCACCCTAAGTAGTTCCTCCCCATCGTCCTCCCTGCTAAGCAGTTCTTCCCCCTATCTTCATCTTCTAAGTGTCCTCATCTTCCTCCCTAAGTAGTTCTCTCCCCATCTTCCTCCCCAAGTTTCCTCCTCCCCATCTTCCTCCCAAGTAGTTCCTCCCCATCTTCCTCCCTAAGTAGTTCCTCCCCATCTTCCTCCCTAAGTAGTTCCTCCCCATCTTCCTCCTAAGTAGTAGTTCCTCCCCATCTTCCTCCCTAAGTAGTTCTCCCATCTTCCTCCAAGGTAGCTCATCCCTCCCCTCACGTCCTCCTAAGCAGTTCTTCCCCATCTTCCTCCCTAGGTATTCCTCATCTTCCTCCCCAAGTAGTTCCCCCATCTTCCTCCCTAAGCAGTTCTTCCCCATCTTCCTCCCCAGGTAGCTCCTCCCCTTCCTAAGTCCTCCCCATCTTCCTCCCTAGTAGTTCTCCCCATCTTCCTCCCTAAGTAGTTCCCCCATCTTCCTCCCCTTCCTCCCAGTAGTTCCTCCCCATCTTCCTCCCAAGCAGTAGTTTCCTCCCAGTGTTCTCCCCATCTTCTCCCTAAGTAGTTCCTCCCCATCTTCTCCTCCCTAAGTTCCTCCCATCTTCCCTCCCTAGTTCCTCCCCCCATCTTCCTCCCTAGGTAGCTCCTCATCTTCCTCCCCAAGTAGTTCCTCCCCATCGTCCTCCCCTAAGCAGTTTTTCCCCATCTTCCTCCTAGGTAGCTCTCATCTTCCTCCCTAATGGTTCCTCCCCCCATCTTCCTCCCCAGGTGGCTCCTCTCATCTTCCTCCTCGTAGTTCCTCCCATCGTCCTCCCTAAGCAGTTCTTCCCCATCTTCACTCCCTCCCTCATCTTCCTCCTAAAGTAGTTTCCTCATCACCTCCCTAGGTAGCTCCTCATCTTCCTCCCAAGTAGCTCCTCCCCATCTTCCTCCCTAAGCAGTTCTTCCCCATCTTCCTCCCCAGGTAGCTCCTCCCCATCTTCCTCCCTAAGTAGTTCCTCCCCATCTTCCTCCCAGGCAGTTCCTCCCCATCTTCCTCCCTAGGTAACTCCTCATCTTCCTCCCTGAGGTAGCTCCTCCCATCTTCTCTCCTAAGTAGTTCCTCCCCATCTTCCTCCCAGGCAGTTCTTCCCCATCTTCCTCCCTAGGTAGCTCCTCATCTCTCCTCCCTAAGTAGTTCCTCCCATCTTCCTCCCGTAGTTCCTCCTTCTTCAGCAGTTCTTCCCATCTTCCTCCCTAGGCAGTTCCTCCCCATCTTCTCTCCTGAGCAGTTCTCCCTATCTTCCTCCCTAAGTAGTTCTCCCTCTTCCTCCCTAAGCCCCCTTCTTCCTCCTAGTAAGTCCTCCCCATCTTCCTCCCAGCAGTTCTTCCCCATCTTCCTCCCTAGGTAGCTCCTCATCTTCCTCCCTAAGTAGTTCCTCCCTATCTTCCTCCCCAAGTAGTTCCTCCTCCTTCTTCCTCCCCATAAGTAGTTCTTTCTCCCATCTTCCTCCCTAGGTAGCTCCTCCCATCTTCCTCCAAGTAGTTCCTCCCCATCTTCCCTCCCTATCCTCCCCTTCTTCTCCCCTAAGTAGTTCCTCCCCATCTTCCTCCTAAATAGCCTTCCCCATCTTCCTCCTAGGCAGTTCCTCCCCATCTTCACTCCCTAAGTTCCCCCATCTTCCTCTCCCCTAGGTAGTTCCTCCCATCTTCCTCCCTAGGTAGCTCCTCCCCATCTTCCTCTCTAGTAGTTCCTCCCCATCTTCCTCCCCTAAGCAGTTCTTCCCCATCTTCTCCTCCCTAAGTGTCCTCCCCATCCTCCTCCCTAAATTTCCTCCCCATCTTCCTCCTTAAGTAGTTCCTCCCCATCATCGTCCTCCCTAAACAGTTCCTCCCCATTTTTCCTCCCTAAGTAGTTCCTCCCCATCTTCCTCTATGAGTCCCTCCCTCATCTTCCTCCTCCCAAGTAGTTCCTCCCCATCCTCCTCCCTAAGTAGTTCCTCCCCATCTTCCTCCCATAAAGTAGTTCCTCCTCCCTAAGTAGTTCCTCCCCATCTTCCTCCCAGGTAGTAATTCCTCCCTAAATAGTTCCTCCCCATCTTCCTCCCCAGGTAGTTCCTCGCCATCTTTCCCTAAGTAGTTCCTCCCCATCTTCCTCTGTAAGTAGTTCCTCCCCATCCTCCTCCCTAGTAGTTCCTCCCCCATCTTCCCTCCCCTAAGTGTTCTCCTCATCTTCTTCCTTCCCAGATAGTTCCTCCCCTCCCCATCTTCCTCCCTAGTGGATTTCCTCCCCATCTTCCTCCCTAAGTAGTTCCTCCCCATCTTCCTCCCTAAAGTAGTTCCTCCACATCTTCCTCCCTAAGTAGTTCCTCCCATCTTCCTTCCCCACGTAGCTCCTCCCCAAGTAGTTCCTCCCCCCTCTTCCTCCTAAGTAGTTCCTCCCCATCTTCCTCCTCCCTAGGTTTTCCTCCCCATCTTCCTCTAAGTAGTTCCTCCTCATCTTCCTCCCTAGGTAGTTCCTGCTCTTCTTCCTCCCTTGTAGTTCCTCCCCATCTTCCTCCCAAAGTAGTTCTCGCTATCTTCTCCTTAGTGATTCCCTCTTCCTCCCTAAGTAGTTCCTCCATCTTCCTCCCTAAGTTCCTCCCATCTTCACTCCTAAGTAGTTTCCTCCCCATCTTCACTCCCTAAGTAGTTCCTTCCCCATCTTCCTCCCTAAGTAATTCCTCCCCATCTTCCCCTAAGTAGTTCCTCCCCCCTAAGTAGTTTCTTCCCAGATAGTTCCTCCCCATCTTCCTCCCCTAAGTAGTTCCTCCCATCTTTTTTCCCCAAGTAGTAGTTTCCTCCCTAAAGTAGTTCCTCCCCATCTTTCTTCCCAGATAGTTCCTCCCTAAGTAGTTCCTTCCCATCTTCCTCCCTAAGTAGTTCCTCCCCATCTTTCTTCCCAGATAGTTCCTCCCTAAGTAGTTCCTCCCCATCTTCTTCCCTAAGTAGTTCCTCCCCATCTTTCTTCCCAGATAGTTCCTCCCTAAGTAGTTCCTCCCCAGGTAGTTCCTTCACCTTTCCCCCTCCTCTGTCCTTCCAATTCTCCTGTGGTGGTCCCCTTTCCTCTAATGGGTCAACTTCCTCCTCCTTCTTCTTGGAGATTTTAAATTCCTCGGGATAAAATTACGTCTAGTCATGATTCACCATCGTGTCAAGGGAGAGTCATGATTCACCATCGTGTCAAGGGAGAGTCATGATTCACCATAGTGTCAAGGGAGAGTCATGATTCACCATAGTGTCAAGGGAGAGTCATGATTCACCATAGTGTCAAGGGAGAGTCATGATTCACCATAGTGTCAAGGGAGAGTCATGATTCACCACTTAGTGTCAAGGAGAGTCATGATTCACCATAGTGTCAAGGGAAGTCATGATTCACATAGTGTCAAGGAGAGTCATGATTCTTTATCGTATCGAGAGAGTCATGATTACCATCGTGTCGAGGAAGTCATGATTCCTGCAATGTCAAGTTCTATCGATTATGATTCACCATCGTGTCAAGGGAGAGTCACGATTCACCATCGTGTCAAGGGAGAGTCATGATTCACCATAGTGTCAAGGGAGAGTCATGAGTTACCATAGTGTCAAGGGAGAGTCATGATTCACCATCGTGTCAAGGGAGAGTCATGATTCACCATCGTGTCAAGGGAGAGTCATGATTCACCATCGTGTCAAGGGAGAGTCATGGTGCTGAACATTGGTCTGATTTACCTACTGAACGGAGACACTCTTGAATTAAGGCAACAAGGGACTCACGGATTGACTCACCCACCGAATGAGAGTCAATCAGTGAGTTGGTCAAGTCACTAACTCGGCAAAGAAAATTATTACGAAAATATTTTCTGTTTGTATTACCAAGTATTGTATAACTGTTGAGTCACATGAAGATTAGACACCCGTGAAGATTAAAAAATAAATAAATAACATGTCACTATATATATTATAAGAACCCATTTCTGAGTGACACAAATAAAAGATCAACTCCTCTTGGTAAGCTGTGACTATACCCTCTCGACAGGCTGTGGTCTGGGTCAAATTTGGTAATCCATTGTATGTTTTAGAAATTATTTTATCTAACCTAATTAATAAATGATAAAGAATCCTCACACAGTACAGGTAACATGGCATTGTGGAGGGTACTAGCATAATGGTCTATTGTCTGAGTGAATGATGAAGAACAATATCCCAATGATAACTTGAGGTGTCACCGAAAACTGTTCTCTTCGTCCCCTCATAGTAAGCTCCAAGGTATGACAGGCGACAAACACCTGTCGGAGGTAAACACAACGACCTAATCTCCAACTACAGATTGTTATGTCACCTTAGGTTGGTATATATCTATTGTCTGTAGCTTAAAGATCTAACGTAGGGTCATGTTAAATTAAATTACTGTACTGTAATTATGTTATGCTTAGTTACTTAATGTTTGTTTTCATTAATAGTTCTTGAGTTAACTGAGGTTATTCGTATTTATCCATCGAGCAATAGTGAATAAAACAGACTGATACTAAAAACCTTATCATGAATGAAATGTCTCCTAAATTATTAGTTTTGACGAGTCTTCCCTGGTATACAATTCTCTTCAGTTACATTTTCTACGATAAAAAAGAAAATATATTAAAGAAAACTATGAAACAAATTGAAAAAAACTCGAACATATACCTTGCTAAATACACTGTCCCATTTATATACTACTGTTAAATCATTCTTCTTGTTGACCTATAATTCCAAATTCACCTTCAAATATTTCAGTAAGGTTGACTCTAGGTATTTTGTGTGCGTAATAATAATACATTCACTTTCTATCTTTTGTAAACATTAAATTGTACTTTACATATGTGATAGAACTATATTGTTGGCATCTATATTTATTCTTATTAATGTTATAATAAATGAATGCCATCAGTAGAATATTTTTGTTATGAGTTCTCGTATAATTGTTACAGTAAAGATAGATTGGAAGCACACACACACACACACACACACACACACACACACACACACACACACACACACACACACACACACACACACACGCCAGATGGCTAACATGTAAACAGTAGGCTAAGGTGGTAACACACTGTTTATTTTACCTCATACACAGCTGCCACTTGTCAGGAATCACCACTAACCCCCTCTTCCCCTCCCCTTTAACCCCCCTTCCACCCATTCCCTCTCCCATTTAACCCCCCTTCCACCCATCCCTCTTCCCTCCCACTCTCCAAGGAACCCTTAAGTAGTAATGGTAAGGAATATGTGGTGGAGATGTGTGTGTCTGAGATTGAGGTGACAGTACTGACCCTGGTTACCTGTTGAGTAATGAGCATACCTAATCCCTTCCTTCCTTCCTTCCTTCCTCTTATTCTTGCTCTCTCCCTTGCCTTTCTTCCCCTCTTTCCTTCCTCCCTTTCTCATTCTATTATTATTAGTAGGAGTAGTATCGGTTATTATTATTATTATTATTATTATTATTATTATTATTATTATTATTATGACGCAACTCGATATTATCACTTAATCAAAATATATTAGTTCATCATAATAAATTTTCTTCGATGACTCTCTCTCTCTCTCTCTCTCTCTCTCTCTCTCTCTCTCTCTCTCTCTCTCTCTCTCTCTCTCTCTCTCTCTCTCTCTCTCTCTCTCTTGACACTGAAGCAGAATTCTCAAACCTTCCTACATCAAATTCCATCTTACTTAAAGAAGAGAGAGAGAGAGAGAGAGAGAGAGAGCCACCAAATATGTCTTCAAAAGTGGACAGAGACTCGACCGTGGCTAGAAGTGTCCCTACGTTTACCAGCTGACTGTAGAAGAAAAAAACTAGATTAACAAACAACTCTTTAGGACACAGATGGACGAGAGATAGTGTAGAAGCTGGTGTGGTCTGTGAGTTTACTTGTAACTCTTTATAATTCTCCTGGCGTTGAAGTCTCTCTCTCTCTCTCTCTCTCTCTCTCTCTCTGTAATAATGTTGTTTCTCTCTCCAAGTTTCTGTTTTTATCTCTCTATCTCTCACTTGTAGGTATTTATTTCTTACTTAGAGAGAATATTATGATTATTTCTTTTTTACTTGTGTGTGTGTGTGTGTGTGTGTGTGTGTGGTTTTTTTTTTCAATGTATAAATTGTTTTGTGTATATCATCTTACACCGGCAACACAGACTAACCTGAGGGTACAGTCGGCTTGTGATGCCCAGGGTACGAGAATGTCATTATGGCAAGTTTTCCCTCATCCTCTTTCAAAGTTATTACAATACTTTTAACCATCAGACACAGTAATGTATAGTCGTTGTATTAGTCAGGTGTATGTGTGTATAGGTGTGTATGTATAGTGATGTATGAGGGACTGGGAGAAGGAGAGGAACTAATGAATGGATGAAGAATGGTGAAGGTGGGTCAGTCTAAGGTTGACAAAGATCACGAACATTTTCCAATATATTTTCGCTTGGTGTCAATTTTTTTCATCTCCTTTACTTTTGGAATGTTTGGAAAGAATATATTTAAGAGAGAATAATCCCTTTAAGTTATGGTGATTTGTGTGATTGGACTTGTTTATTTTGTGTGTGTGTGTGTGTGTGTGTGTGTGTGTGTGTGTGTGTGTGTGTATATGTCGTGGTGAGGGTAGAGTCAGGTTTAGGCATTAACAGGGAGGTTTAGTGTTAGTCGCACCTCCTCGAGTTTTCTGACGTCCAAGGATATATGCGTGTTTAAACAACCTGATCACGTCTACACACACACACACGGTCGTACACTCACAGATACATACAGTCATGACAATCAGTTCAACTAGAAGCAAGTCCAGGTAACCAGCAGTAGCACCAGCAGGACAAGAGGTAACCACATCATCTTCAGGTAACCCAGACCAGCAGGTGTGGTAGAGGCTGGCAGAGGGCGTCGTGGTCTGTGTTTGGCTGAGGTCTACCACCGAGGACGTGCCCAGTGTGTACCTACCTCTCAGCCTGCCTGCACGTCTGTCGTCATGTAGCTGCCGCATCTCACGAGTCTTCATCACCAGGAGGTATAGAATATCAGGTTGTGGCGTTGGTCCAGCCTCTAGTGCAGGGCGGTGACAACAGTGATACAGTTGTAGTCCTCATAGTGTGTGCGTCAAGCTGAGGTGACCAATACAGTACATCATTGACGAAGGGAGAAGTAACAATAGAGATTTATTTCTAGTAGATCATAACGCAAGTTTGTGACAGTGAAGGGAATAGTTACCATGTTACAGTGTCCATAACAGTGAACAGTGTCTTAGGCAGGGGAGGGGGGGGGGAAAATCGCCTTTGTAATATTTGCCAAAGTGATGTGATGAAAATAATGTAAATAGTGACGCGCAGTTACCAGTGACACGGGCATGAATCTGACCCCAAGTTTATAAGACATTGAAGGTAATATCCTGGAATATAAACAATGCGACTGATTCTACCACACCGAGGGGTACTGTGGGTGATGATGATGACGGTGTGGATGATGGTGGGCGTGTGTGAAGCAGGTGTGGGCGTGTGGATGGATGACGGTAACGGGCGGACGGTGTTAGCTGACAACTTAGGATCAGAAGAGGCGGCTGAGTTGGCCCGGGACATTCTGGACGTGTTGGACTTGCCCGCCCCACCATTAGTAAGGGAAGGGCGACACCACCACCACATTCACCTGCACCGCGCCCACGGCTCAGCACCCACCTGGCTCAAGAGTGTGTACGACACCCTGGACGAACATGGGCACGCTAACTCAGCCCATATGGACGCCACTCACCGGGAGACTGTTACTGCTGCCGACACCATCATCACCTTCGTCAGTAGAGGTGGGTAGCTCTCTCTCTCTCTCTATTTAACTAACTATCTGTCTATCTATTTATCTATCTATCTATCGCAAACATAGGATAGGCGAACGTTCGTCTGTGTTATTATTGGGTAATGGTGGAGGGAGGAAGATTTGCCAGGTGCTGTTGAGTGCTGGTGCTGGAGCTGCTTTTATGACACGGGCCCCAGTGACATTTATACAGGTAAAGTTACTTGTGATGAAACTTAACCTTCCTACATGTCTAATTAAACTCTAATTTATATTCAGACAGGTGAGTTAGAAGCATTAATTTAGGCATAAAATCCAGGTACAGGTATATCCAGGTATATTGATAGTAATATAAAGGTATTTTGACCAAGGTAGTTATACAGGTTATCTTCAGTTCTGGTTATCTTGTTATCTTTGTACAGTGTAGAGGAACCATTGATGTAAAGAATCTATTATATATCTTCTCACTGAATCTACGACTATTACTACCACTACTACTACTAATTTTTTACTGTTCATACTACTTTTTTACTACTTTTCTACTACTTCTACTAATACTTAATTTTTTTTAATTTTCTTTTATAAAATGGCCTCCAGCCTCCCCCAATAGCCATACCTTCGCCACTTATACTAATACAACTACTACGACTACTAACAGTAACAATAACCAACAACAAAATCACTTAACAACATAAATAACGTATATAATAACCACTTCAATAACAATAATAAAAATAACTAAATCTCCCTTGTATTGCAGCTCTCTTGAAGACACCTCAAGATAACTAGTCACAAACATCAAGTATATTCTCTTAAATGACTCTTTTAAACTATAGTACTCTTTTTTTTACCTGTAGATGGAGGTATAGTGAGGTATGTGATGGTTATGGTGTAGTGTTTTAGTTTAACAAATTTATTGGCAAAGCTTGTAGTACAGTTTGCCTATTCTGAGTAATTCAGTCAGGTCTTGATACAGAGGGTGGTATCACTTCTCACTGCCACGCAGGACAGAGGTTCATACACAAAGAGATGCATCATGTTCATTGACTGTACATACACATACAGTATGTAAACACACACACACATACACATACAGTATGTATACACACACACACATACACATATATATATATACATATATACATATACATATATATATACACATATACATACATACATACATACACATACACACACACACATACATACATATACGTAGGTCAAATTCATGTGGGTAATGTCACTCTTCACCGCCATACAGGACAGAGGTTCGTACACAAAGAAGGAAAGACATCATATTCATTAGCAGTATATATAGGTCAGTGGATCACATACATTAGAGTCATATTCGTGTGGTGTAGTGTGGTGTAGAGTTTGTGGTAGTAATGGTGTTATGTTTCCAGGACGCGGTTCACTGGGGAATGAAAATGTCAACATGGTAGGATTCTTGACGTCTTAGAGGGTTACCTTACAATGACGTCATTCAGGGAGAGAGAGAGAGAGAGAAACCCTCTCTCTCTCTCTCTCGCCACCACTCCCTGTATTCCTCTTAAGCTATCTGTTAGCTGACTGAATATGCTAAGTCACTCTCTGATGTGCACATATTCAGCTCAATGATGTGTACATGATGTGTTCAATTCTGTGTACATGTAGGAAATGGGTTATGTGTGAAGAATAGGAATCTTAACTTAGCCTTATCTAACCTAACCTAACCTACTGAACTCGAAGAATTTTTGTCTGGTGTGTTAATGTATTACAAAATTCCTCTCCCTTCCCTTGTGTGTCTTTCGTCTTCCTTCTCCTCCCCTTCCTCCCTCTACCTCCCATCCCTTCTCCTTCCCTCCCTTCTCCTTCGCTCCCTTCTCCCCTTCCTTCTCCTTCCCTCCCTTCTCCTTCCCTCCCTTCTCCCCTCCCTTCTCCTCCCCTTCCTTCTCCTTTCTTCTCCTTCCCTTCCTTCTCCTTCCTTCCTTCCTCCTCCTTCCTTCTCCTTCCCTTCCTTCTCCTTCCCTCTCTTTCCTCCCTTCTCCCTCTCCTTCCTCCCTTCTCCTTCCCTTCCTCCCTTCCCCTCCTTCTCCCCCCCCTTCTCCTTCCCTCCCTTCTCCCTCCCCTTTCTCCTTCCCTCCTTCTCCTCCTTCCTTCTCCTCCCTCTCTCCCTCCTCCCTTCCCTTCTCCTTCCCTCCCTTCCTCCCTTCCCTCCCTCCTTCTCCTTCGCTCCCTTCTCCTCCCCTCCTCCTTCTCTCTCCCCTTCCTTCTCCTTCCCTCCCTTCTCCTCTCCCTTTCTCCCTTCCCCTTCTCTCCTCCCTTTCTCCTTCCCTTCTTCTCCCCTTCCTTCTCCTTCCCTTCCTTCTCCTTCCCTCCCTTCTCTTCCCCTTCTCCTTCCCTCCCTTCTCCTCCCCCTCTTCTCCTTCCCTCCCTTCTCCTCCCTTCCTTCTCCTCCCTTCCTTCTCCTTCCCTTCCTTCTCCTTCCCTCCACTTCTCCTCCTTCTCCCCCCTTCCTTCCCTTCCCACCCTTCTCCTCCCCTTCCTTCTCTTCCCTTCCTTCTCCTTCCCTCCCTTCTCCTCCCCTTCTCCTTCCCTCCCTTCTCCTCCCTTCCTTCTCCTCCCCTTCCTTCTCCTTCCTTCCTTCTCCTTCCCTCCCTTCTCCTCCCCTTCTCCTCCCCTTCCTTCTCCTTCCCACCCTTCTCCTCCCCTTCCTTCTCCTTCCTTCCTTCTCCTTCCCTCCCTTCTCCTCCCCCCTTCTCCTCCCCTTCCCCCCTTCTCCTCCCCCCTTCTCCTTCCCTCCCTTCTCCTCCCCTTCCTTTCCTTCCTCTCTTCTCCTCCCCCTTCCTTCTCCTTCCCTCCCTTTCCCCTTCCCTCCCTTCCCCCTTCCTTCTCCTTCCCTCCTCTCCTCCCCTCCCTTCTCCTTCCCTCCTTCTCCTCCCCTCCCTTCTCCTTCCCTCCCTTCTCCTCCTTCCTTCTCCTTCCCCTCTCTTCTCCTCCTTCCTTCTCCTTCCCTCTCTTCTCCTCCCCTTCCTTCTCCTTCCCTCCCTTCCTTCCTCTCCTTCCATCCAAACCACAAAGATTTTATATTCAAGTCCCGAGGATGAAGAGTGAGGGTTGAGGAGGGTCAGGAGGGGTGAGAGAAAGGCTGAGGGAGGTGGAGAGGAGAGAGAGGAGGGCAGGAAGGAAGGGTTGATTTAAAGGGAGGGTGGTTAGGAGGGACGCTTTGGAGTGATCTGGGGAGGGTGGTTAAGGCAGAGAGGTTGGGGATTATGTGCGTGAGGTCAAGGGCAAACACCACGCAGGGCATCTGCTGTTTGTGTATGTTTTCTCTGTTTGTTTGGGAACTTTTAATAAGCTTTTGTGAGAGGGGTGGGGTGGGGGTGTTTAGATAACTTAAGTGTTGCTTTGTTCACAACATCTGGGACAAAGGCGAGGGAGGGAGTGAGGAAGAAAGGGAGGGAGAGAGAGGGAGGAGAGAAAGGAGAGAGAGAAGAAAGAAAGAGATAAAGAGGAGGAGGGAGAGAAGGATGGAGGTAGGATAAGGTAGAAGTTAAATTTATCATCCGAAAAAGAGATGATAGGAAGAGAGAGAGGGAGAGGTTAGTGTCTGTCTGTCTGTCTGTTTGTCTGTCTGTCTGTCAATCACCACTAAATTAAATCCCATTCTTATCCACCTCCAATCACCACAACTTCAACCACTTAATTCCCTCCCCCCCCCCTCCCTCCCTCCAGGTAAAAATATACACTAATAAGTCATTCTCTCACCTGCACAGATCCACCACACGGTAGACCTCACCACGGGGCCAACAAGAGGCTATACTTCGACGTGAGAGATGTACCTCTGGACCACTCACTGCTTGGGGCTGAGATACAGATCTATCGTTTTGAGGGCCACGATGAACCACTCAGTCTTCACGTGTATATGATTAATGATGACGAAGAGTATGTCTCTCTCTCTCTCTCTCTCTCTCTCTCTCTCTCTCTCTCTCTCTCTCTCTCTCTCTCTCTCTCTCTCTCTCTCTCTCTCTCTCTCTCTCTCTCTCTCTCTCTCTCTCTCTCTCTCTCTCTCTCTCTTTCATTGTCATGTTCGGAGTGTTGTGTATATTTATTTTTTATATTACACACACACACACACACACACACACACACACACACCCGGAATTAATACATATATCCACACCTTGTACCTATACCTGTACTCTCACCTGTAATAGGGTGTAACCGTTGCCCTCCAAAAATAAAAAAATGGTCCTACAATGCTGTTCAAAGTTTTAGTGTTGTGTATTTATCTAGGAAACACTCCGGTAAATTTTCTTGGAGATCGGTACATGTTTGAGCTAGCACCGTCGGCTTTACAAAATAACAAGGAATATTATTATCTAATGAACAAATTTAGTGGAATTTCTTTTATTAGACTTATAAGATATACTAACACCAAGCAAATGATCGATCATATCAATCTTAATACACCTAAAACAATATTATAGATCAGTACCAAATACAATAATCCCAATAATTGTGTTTCCAGGTTCAAGACCCATTTCTCTCAACTGGCGTACAATGAAAACAAGAAATACTACTACTACCACCCCGCAATGCCTGGAGTGTTTGAGGAGCGCCAGCAGCAGATGGCTGACTTCTTCCGTGAATCTCTAGCCCAACCATTTACACGTGGCGACTACAAGGAGCTGGTAGAGCTTTGTCTGCTGCTTGTAACTAAAGGATCCGAGCCAGTGAACTTCACGATGGTCTACCCCGGCGCACTTCACAAAGCAAGGTGGATGGCTAAACTGCTCTATACCCTCAAGATTGTTCTTTTGTCAGGCCAGATCAAAGAGCAGTTTCCCAAAGCCGAGGTTGTGATTAAAAGTCAAATCAGCAAGTTAGAACGGATTGTGTGTTCACAGTCGCTGTTTATGTCCCATGGTGGATTGTTTGTCCCGTTCCAGCAAGTGCGCCACTGAATGACTTGAATTTGGTCGAAACCTTGGCTGAATTTGCCCCATATGACGCCACAATAGTTGACAAAGCACGTGTGGCACTCGGTAGACACACTTGGTACCTAACTGAGGAGTTGGCCCCACTGGCTTTGTTCTCGTCCCAAGTACAAGAAAGAACAAAAGAGGAGATGAGGAAGGCCCTTCTTTGCCATGAAGGCACTGAAGTTACTAAGAGAGTGGGGCTCAATCATGGGGGCTGTGGAAAGCCATATCTTCCCCCTGTCCCAGAAAGTGGCACTGCCCTGGTGGACCTAATTGGACCTGACTCAAGCCGGTTCTTCACCATTTTAGGCATGCCCTATCAGTTTCTCCACAGTCCAGCCAGTGAATGGGCGGATCATGACGACTACCTGAACATGAAACGGGTTGTGGACAAGCTTCAGGTCGTCAATGAGGCTGCAGAGCGTGGTGTGACACTTTGCCATGACTTTCTTAATGTTGCCAGAGATGAGGAGAGCTTTCAAGAAGTCCTTCAAGTAGTTGAAAATGACAGACTCCGCGTTCCTAATCAGCCCAAACGATCTTCTGTTTCCCAACAGAAATTATGGTTTCTTGCTCTAGAGAAATAATACCTTGTGAATATATGATAAAACCCCTTAATGTACCATGAGAGAATAAGAATGATTAACTTGTTTGTGTTAGTGATAACAGCTTTTAATTAAGACAGGCAAATGATTTGTGTTAATATCCCTTATGATGGTTGTGTAATCCCATATATAGGCGCGTATGCCGTATAAGCAAAATCACTATTTTTCAAATAGCTGGAGCTCTCTCAAATATGCATGAATCTTCAAAAAAATGCACGTGGGTATTTTTTATGTCAATATGCAACACCCAAATTTGAACAGCATTGTAGGACAAAGTTGGGGCAACTGTCACACCCTAACCTGTAATCATAAATGTATTATTAGAAGTTTAGAACCTTAGGATATAATAAATTTAGAACCTGAGAATATTATAAATTTAGAACCTGAGAATTAGAATTAGATAATTAGAAATTTAGAATCTTAGGATATTTAAATTTAGAACCTTATAGAATTAGAAACATAACTAAGTTAAGTGTTGGTTATCAGGAGTGAGTCGGAGGTGGCTCGGGTGACGCTGAGGGAGCCAGGCTGGGTGAGCATTAACGTTACGGCTCCTGTACTGTCATGGCTCATCTTCCCCAACACAAACTTTGGTCTTCGTCTTGCTGTTACCTCCCTTGATCGACGTAAGTACCTCTGTCTGTCTGTTTCCTGTCTATCTGTCTCATATGTGTGTGTGTGTAGAGGTATTTATGTGTGTGAGTGGTAGGTATGTATGTGTGTATGTATGCGTGTGAATAGTATATATATATATATATATATATATATATATATATATATATATATATATATATATATATATATATATATATATATATATATATATATATATATATATACACACAGGTGTATGTGTGTATTTAATATGTAGAAAATATTACCAAGGTCAGACTTACCTTTTAGGTACTTAACCCCACAGGCCATGAGCGGCGGTTCCATGAGGTGGGAGTGTCAGGAGCCAAGGATCAGGAGGACTACAGACCCTTCATGGTAGGATTCTTCGCCCTCCCATCCTCCTCCTACAAGAAGAAAAGGATTCGTACTGCCAGGTCCGCCTCCGCCCCACCCCCACCACCCAGGAGCAGATTACGGACGTATCGAGGTGACCATGTGTGCTGGTACACACACACACACACACACACACACACACACACACACACACACACACACACACACACACACACACACACACACACACACACACACACACACACACACACAATTAATACTCCATCCTCTGACAATTTTAATTCATGTCTAATGAGAATTTTGTTTGTCCTGATTAATGTATAATTTTAATCTTATCTGAGCAAGTCATCCCTGGAAATTTTTAGAGATAAGGACAGAGAGAGAGAGAGAGAGAGAGAGAGACTGCCACACTCACCCCCACAACCTCCGCGTCATAAATTCATCTCAAAGAACTCACTCTTCTTCTCACTCTTCTCCCCACAGATATCACCGACAGGCCGATTGGGTCAGACACACTATGCAAGATGAAACACCTCCACGTCTCCTTCAGGGACTTAGGCTGGGAGAACTGGGTCATCGCTCCTGAAGGATACGACGCTAACTACTGCGAGGGTCATTGTGTATTCCCCCTGCAGGCTGAACTCAACGCCACTAACCACGCCCTCGTACAGACTCTGGTGAAGGTAATTGATGAAGTATCTGATGACCACGAGGTGCCCCCCAACGCCTGCTGTGCCCCCATAGACCTGGCCACCATCCCAGTCCTCTACTACTCGTATGAAAACAACATCGTGCTGAAGAAGTATCCCAAGATGATCGTCAAGACTTGTGGCTGTCTTTGAGGACCTAAGAAACACACGTAAACAACCAACAAGTATCGCCTGGCGTTTGATTGCCACTGAATATTGTATAAATCTACCGCCAGATCAATCAAGTATCGCCTGGCGTTTGATTGCCACTGAATATTGTATAAATCTACCGCCAGATCAATCAAGTATCGCCTGGCGTTTGATTGCCACTGAATATCTATCGTTTATCTCTGCCACCAAATCAATCAAACAAGTATTGCCTGGCGTTTGATTGCCACTGAATATTGTATAAATCTACCGCCAGATCAATCAAGTATCGCCTGGCGTTTGATTGCCACTGAATATCGTATAAATCTACTGCCAGATCAATCAATCATCGCCTGGCGTTTGATTTATCTCCTAGGACGGTATAAAATATCTCTTTAACACGAGCAATTAATAACTCTTTGCCTTCACCTCTTCGTCTGGCTATACTTACACGCCAGGCGGACACTCGCTCGCCTTTCTGCTACCATTGGAACTTGTAAATGAGAAGAACGAAACTGAACCTTGTGATTGCCTTCTCAAGTAACAACAATTAACTGGATACCATTCCTTGAGACCCTGAGAGAGAGAGAATGGGGGGAGGGGGGGGGCTTTTAATATAAACTCAACGCCTTAATATGAACCAAGTTAATTAAATCTCTCGTGTTTAATATAAGGGCCGTGAAATAACAGGATTTGGTGATATTAGTCAGGAGAGTGTCCGAATGTTTGATGTGTAATAAGGTACCGATTTTAACGCCAATATTTTGAAGGATATCTATACTTATAAACAAGGCGGTATTATTATTATTATTATTAGTAGTAGTAGTAGTAGTAGTATTTGTTTTTATTATTTTGATCCGATTTTCACAGACCAATCAGAATAGAGTATTATAAAAGACATAACTACTAGGGACCAATCACAACCTTTCATTTTTATTGCTCGGTATATTTTTGTTGTATTCTTGTATTCAGTATAATTAAGTATTTTTTAAAGTTTATGTGATACTGATTTGAGATGTATTAATGGTATGAATATAATCCACGTGTTAATGAAAGGTTTTTAATTTGCATACACCTGGGATAAATTATATATGTAAGATTAATACACACAAATACACGTACATACACAAAACGGAACATAAACATACATATAGACACTTATGTACACACAGGCACATACATAATTGCAATTTGTTTACATGCATACATACATACATACATACATACATACATACATACATACATACATACATACATACATACATACATACATACATACATACATACATACATACATACATACAAATCAACTTTTTTCTGTATGTCTGCTTCATTTCTTACTCTTATTTATTAGTTTTCAATTTTCATTTTCTTTTATTATTTACTTGTAATTATCGTAATAGTTATAGTTGTTATTATGGTTATAGACACAGGTAGAGTCACAGGTATAATCATAGGCACAGGTATAATCAGAGTCACAGGTATAATCATAGTCACAGGTATAATCATAGTCACAGTATAATCACAGGTATAATCATAGAGAGTCACATAGTAGGCAAGTCACAGTGTCACAGCATAGTCACAGGTAGACACACAGTGAGTGAGTTACGTATACTGTAGACCATAAGTTTAACCACGACTATATCACTTATTACTACCAGGACATTATTTAATTATTACTTATCCTAAAAACACACACCAACAACAACAACAATAAATATCATCAGGTCAGGTTAGGTTAATGTAGGAAAGACCTTCTGAAATATTACTTGAGGATAGCTTTTCTATTTAACCTTATTAGTGAACTTAAGTTATGTTACTTTGTATATTAACACCACTACGTTCCTCACCACCCTTCCTCACCACCCTTCCCCCCATCACCACTCTCTCTCCTCACCACCCTTCCTCACCACCTTCCCCCCATCACCACTCTCTCTCCTCACCACCCTTCCTCACCACCTTCCCCCCATCACCACTCTCTCTCCTCACCCTTCCTCACCACCTTCCCCCCATCACCACTCTCTCTCACACTCATGTTAACAGGCCTCCATAGTGCTCCATCAATACAGAGGGTACACACACACACACACACACATACACACACACACACACACACACACACACCCCCCCCTTGGAGGACCACATTACCAACACAACATCGATACATCAACAGTTAATCTCTGTAATATATAAACAGATCAATTAAGAAAGTCACACGTAAAATACAAGTGTTAATTGTATATCTCTTGAACGTAAATATTACATAAATAAGTTCAAGAGTTCAGTGAATATTATTATAGAGTGTAAACTTAAGAACTAGAATGTTGATGTACTTGTGTTGAACTTTGAACCCAGACACACAAAACATGGTGATGGTGGTGGTGGTGTGGTGGTTCATTTCTGTTGACTACGTAAGCTCATCACTCACCCCTATTCCCTTCGTCTCTCCCTCTTGATCAGAACGCACTAACACTAAGTGAGGTAAGGGCAGGTGTGGGTAGTTAGGGGGCAGGTACCTCACAAATCACATGTTGGGCGTAGGAGTTACAGTAGTAATCATCCCAATTATTATCCCTCAAGTAGATAATGAGACAGTTTTGACCAGTGGCAATAGGTGCAGCGCCGGTATTCCAGGGCAGGTACTCGACCAACTCCCCTACAGGTAAAAAACAAGAGATGGTTGTTAAGTTCTCCACTGTGGACACCTGTTGAATGTATGAATATTAATGATAAGTGTTTTCTTACAAGTGCTTGATTCTAAACATACATATTATTGTTGTCGTCATCATCATCATCATCATCATCATCATCATCATCATCATCATCATTATTATCACCTGTGTCAGGGTTGCGCCAGGTACCCTCCTCTTCAAGATCAACAGCCAGAACTCTAACCCAACCGTAATACACAGTACTCATGTGCATCACCTCCACGTCACTCTGTTGAGGAAGACGACAACTCAGGAGCACAGTGTCTTGAATAATAAAAGAACTTAACACAAAAAAAAATCCATGATAAAAGCTGTCTACTTTAATATGACACTGAACTAAGGAAGTTATATTTGATAGATTAAGGTGTTAAAAATGATTATTTCCATATCTAACTTTCTCAGATTTTTGTTTTTGATGCAACCTTTGTCGTGTACAGGATCTAGGTTCAGAAATATCACCTTCGAGTAATTAGTGTTAATGACTACTGAAATAATGACAACACATTTAAAATATTCATTACGTCATTTATGTTATCAATGTAAAATTTCCATAAAGTATACATACTTTTTTCCCCTGAATCATTACGATATAAATTTAAACATTACCTTTTTTTTCAGATAAGTTTGAGTAAAAAAATAGTCCAAATTATTACTTTATAATTATCATCTCTTGAGTGTTGCCGTTGGTGGAGGAACTATATATACTGTACCTACCTCGGGCAGTGCCATAGAGGAGTTGAGGTCCTCACATGCCTTACGTCCTGGGGTGTATAGGTAGTACGTGCTGAGTAACTTGTATGCCTTTGATCCGAAGCGTGCGAAGCCCTGAGCATAATCTGTTGATGTAGAGAGCATCAGACTGTGAAGGTGCGACACTGTTTATGGTAAATTAGATTAAAATTTTCTCTTATAGCAATTGGTCTTCTTGTTGATTCCTACCTCCCCTCCTCCTCACCTTCTCCCCCCCCAACCTCCTCCCTCCCCCTCCTCACCTCCCCTCCACCTCCCCCTCCCTCCTCCCCTCTCCTCCTCCTCACCTCCCTCACCTCCTCCTCCTCACCTCCCTCCCTCCTCACCTCCTCCCTCCCCTCCCTCCCCTCCCCCCTCCCCCCTTCCCCCTCCTCACCTCCCCCTCCTCCCCTCCTCCACCTCCCCCCTCCCTCCCTCCTCCCTCCTCCCCCTCCTCCTCCTCCCTCCCCCTCCCTCCCTCCCCCTCCCCCCTCCTCCTCCCCACCTCCTCCCTCCTCCCTCCCCCCCCCTCTCCTCCCTCCCCTCCTCCTCCTCCCCTCCCTCCCTCCTCCCCTCCTCCCTCCTCACCTCCTCCCTCCCTCCCTCCCACCTCCCCCTCCCTCCCCCCCTCCCCCTCCCCTCCCCTCCCCTCCCCTCTCCACCTCCCCCCTCCTCACCTCCCCTCCCCCCCCCTCCTCCCCTCCCCTCCCCTCCCCCCTCCCCCCTCCCCCCCTCCCTCCCTCCCTCCCACCTCCTCCCCTCCCCCTCCCTCACCTCCCCCTCCCCCCTCCTCCCCTCCCCCCTCCCCTCCCCTCCCCCTCCCCCTCCCCCCCTCCCCCTCCCCTCCTCTCCCCCCCTCCCCTCCCCTCCCCTCCCCCCCCTCCCCCTCCCCCCTCCCCCCCCTCCCCCCCCCTCCTCCCCTCCCCCTCCCCTCCCCTCCCCTCCCTCCTCCCTCCTCCCCCTCCCCCTTCCCCCCCCTCCCTCCCCCTCCCCCCCTCCTCCCTCACCTCCTCCCTCTCCTCCCTCCCCCCCTCCCCCCTCCTCCCTCCCCCCCTCCCCCCCCTCTCCCCTCCTCCCCTCCTCCCTCCTCCCCTCTCCCTCCCCCCCCCCCTCCTCCTCCCCCCCCTCCCCTCCTCCCCTCCTCCCTCCCCTCCCTCCCTCCCTCCTCCCTCCCCCCTCCCCCTCCCCCCTCCCTCTCCCCTCCTCCCTCCTCCTCCCCCACCTCCCCTCCTCCCCTCCCCCCTCCCCCTCCCTCCCTCCCTCCCCCCTCCTCCCCACCTCCTCCCCTCCTCCCCCTCCCCTCCCCCCTCCTCCCTCCTCCCCTCCTCCTCCCTCCCCCTCCTCCCCTCCCCTCCCTCCCCCTCCCCCCTCCTCACCTCCCCTCCTCCCTCACCTCCCTCCTCCTCCTCCCCTCCCCTCCCTCCCCCCTCCCACCTCCCCTCCTCACCTCCTCCCTCCCTCCCTCCCCCTCACCTCCTCCCTCCCCCCTCCTCACCTCCCCCCTCACCTCCCTCCTCACCTCCTCACCTCCCCTTCCTCCCCTCCCTCACACCTCCCTCCTCCACCTCCCTCACCTCCCCTGTCCCTCCCTTCCCTCCTCACCTCTCCCTCCTCACCTCATCACTCTTCCCCTCCCTCCTCCTCACCTCCCTCCCTCACCTCCTCACCTCCTCCCTCCCTCCCTCCCCTCACCTCCCCTCCTCACCTCCCTCCCTCACCTCCTCCACCTCCCCCCCTCACCTCCTCTCACCTCCCTCCCTCCCTCCCCTCCTCGCCTTTTCCCTCTCCTCCTACCCGATAATATAGTTTGATGGTGTTTTTTATTCTTTATTGGTGATATATTACTGACAAGCGCTTCAGAACGGTGTGGAGTCTCTGGTGATGTTTATTGACCGTCTTCTCTGGTGTATTCACTAACCTGACCAGTACATGGAGTAGCTGTGGCGTTCACTAAGTCAGGCAGGACGGTGTGTCGGTCGTGGTGCGAGATGAGACAGTGGGGTTCCTCAGGGTGGTAACAGACGCCTAAACAGTATGGGTCATTACCACACGCCATGACGCACCTCAGCTGACCCCCCAAGGTGAAGGAGTGGATTAAACACAACAGACAGGATGGAACCTTCTCTTGGATAAACAACTCCAGGCTTATATGTTTAATGGGATCTGTCAAAGCGTCTTACTTTTTGGGCCGAAGAATTAATATTGCTCAAAACCTCGGGAAAGATAATCCTAGACAGGATGATTAAGGACCTGTTGTGATTTTTTTAATATTGATAATTAATTATCTTAATAGGCCCTGCAGTATGAAAATTTGTAATTATCCTAATTACTATGAAGACAGTTAATTATCAGACTCTTAACCAAGGACGACCTTTACTGAGATTAATAGACAAATTTAGACCCATTTTTTTTAATTAATCAGGTAGTAGGTAGTAGGCAGCTACCAAACAGGGAGGTACTACCGCCTGGGAAGATATTGGAAACATAATGTGTTGTCTAATGGTAGACCCTGCTGCCATATGGCACCACCAAAATTGTGACCAAGTCCCAGGTTGCTGATCTGACTTTCTGTCTCATTTATACACAATTGCAGGTCTCAATTGTTTCTCTTACTATTGACAACACAACATATATATCGTTTCTCACTCTTGATCTTTTTTTTTCATTTCTGTATTTAGTTTTGGTTCAAAATTTTTTATTCGCTCCCCAGGCGCCGATGTGGGTCAGTTACCAGTACCCGGGTGGGCTAATCCTCATGAAAAACTATTAAAGTCTTGTCGCCTCTCCTCCTGAACCACGAACCCCGAGATTCAGACTCATGAACCTGAAGCAGTAGACTGATACATTATTCTGTCCATAAAGGTAGAGTCATCAGGTGAAATTAAAATTGTGGTGTGGAATCCAAACAAACATTCAACATTGACTAAAAATTTACTCTAACATTCATCACTATTACACCACATCATTCTCTACGTAAAACAAAAACATTCACTGGCTAAATATTGTTTAGTAAGGCTTGTGATTGGTCAAGAAGTCGTAGTCAGCTGTAATTGGCTGGGCCGTTAACTACTGTACGTCACGACCGGGATCATTTAACAGGGGGTCACTTGCCATGGGTTACTTAACAGGGGTCACTTAACAGAGGACACTTAACAGGGGTCACTTAACAGGGGTCACTTAACAGGGGTCACTTAACTAAGTACACTTAACAAAACACTTTAAGGGTCAATTAAAAGAGAACACTTACAAACACCACTTAACAAACACTACTTAACAAAGGTCACTTACCAAGGATCACCACACAAACAGCACTTCACACACCACACACACACACACACACACACACACACACACACACACACACACACAAAAACACAACACACACACACACACACACACACACACACACACACGAACACACACACACACACACACACACACACACACACACACACACACACACACACACAGACACACACACACACACACACAGTCACTGCAACACGCCCCTGTAATTTCTCTCACGCATAAGGATTAATATTTCACAATCTAATAAATTTTCTGCTTTGCTACGGCGTTTGTACTCAAGGAGGTTTAGCCATCGTACTCAACAAGGTTAAGCCATCGTACTCAAGGGGGTTATGCTATCGTACTCAAGGGGGTTAAATTATCCTACTCAAAGGGGTTAAATTATCGTACTCAAGTGGGTTAAGCCATCGTAGTCAAAGGGGTTAAATTATCGTACTCAAGGGGGTTAACCTATTGTATTCAGGGGGGTAAAGGAAAGGAGGATAAGGGTAAAGGAGCACAAAAGGGAAGGGCAAATGGTGTTAATGTAAAGGGTGTGAAGGATAAGGGGATAACACAAAACCTAACCTAACCTCACCTAACCTAACCTCACCTAACCTAAACTCACCTCACCTAACCTAACCTAACCTCACCTAACCTAACCTAACCTCACCTAACCTCACCTAACCTAACCTCACCTAACCTAACCTAACCTCACCCAACCTAACCTAACCTCACCCTAACCTAACAACCTCACCTAACCTAACAACCCCCACCCAACCTAACCTAACCCTCACCTAACCCAACTCCAACCTCACCTAACCTAACCTCACCTAACCTCACCTCACCTAACCTCACCCCAACCTCACCTAACCTCACCCCAACCTAACCTCACCTAACCTAACCTAACCTCACCTAACCTAAACTCACCTCACCTAACCTAACTCCAATCCTAACTCACCTAACCTAACCTAACCTAACCTCACCTAACCTCACCTAACTCCTCACCTCACCTCACCTAACCTAACCTAACCTAACCTCACCTAACCTAACCTCACCTAACCTCATCTCCACCTAACCTCTCACCTAACCTAATCCTACAAGTGATTTCCCTATGACTCTCGATGACTATATCTTGATGAGACAGTAATAAGAATCTCACCTGATCTTTCGCTGTGACATTCTTTGCTACATGCTGGGAGGCGGGACAAAGATTCTGCATAAACGGACGTAACACCACGCCCTCAACCACGCCCATAAGGAGGAGAGACACTGAGCAGACTTCATCACGCCTGGTGAAGAAGACTCACCTACGACTGACTCAGGTTAGATTAGAATCTTTCATCCACCTTCACTAACACGAAAAAAATTATGATAATATACTCAATCTATTTTATTTTATCACCATTTCTAGAAGGATGTAGTGTACACTTCTTCAGACTACATGATGATGTGCGTGTGATGTGATGTGTGTGATGTGGTGTGTGTGATGTGTGTGTGATTTGTAGTCTCGATGTCTTGTTGCAATACGGTATCTCTTCGATCCTTGGCAATCATATACCAATAAACTCCGAATTCTTCATTTTAACGTCATTCTTCACGGTAGGTCGTGTGTGTGTGTGTGTGTGTGGTACAGGGAGTTGAGGTATGCATACATATAGTGTTAATATACATGTATGATACAGGTATAAGTATGAATCAGTTTACCTGTGGGTGATGAGACTTCATACGTGGTGAGGTATTAACAGGTGTACTGTATGTGTGAGCTGGGAGGAGTAGCACTCATACGACTACCCAAGTGCTTATAGACAGCCCCATAGTGCTTATAGCCCCATAGTCCTGATAGACCCCATAGTCCCATAGACCCCATAGTCCTAATAGACCCCATAGTGCTTATAGCCCCCAATAGTCCTCAGAAACCCCTAGTCCTAATAGACCCCATAGTCCCAATAGACCCCATAGTCCTAATAGGACCCCATAGTCCTAATAGACCTCGTCCTAATAGACCCCATAGTCCTAATAGACCCCCATAGTCCTAGACCCCTAGTCCTAATAGGACCCCATAGTCCTAATAGACCCCATAGTCCAATAGACCCCCAGTCCAATAGACCCCATAGTCCCACAGACCCCTAGTCCCACAGACCCCATAGTCCCACATAGACCCCTGGCCAATAGACCCCATAGTCCCATAGACCCTAGTCCTAATAGACCCCATAGTCCTAATAGACCCCCATAGTCCCAATAGACCCCTAGTCCTACAGGCCCCATAGTCCCACATTAGACCCTAGTCTTAATAGACCCCATAGTCCTAATAGACCCCATGGTCCACAGGACCCCTAGTCCTAATAGGACCCCAGTCCCATAGACCCCTAGTCTTAATAGACCCATAGTCCTGGACAGACCCCATAGTCCTAATAGAACCCCTAGTCCTATAGACCCCATAGTCCTAATAGACCCCTGAACCGAATATTCACCAATACTTTCGAGTGGTGTAAAATACTGTCCATTAATACTAGGCAGGATGGGATGAATTTACTACTGTGGGTAACTCCTGACACGCTGGCGCTGTGTTTTGAAACCCTGGCGACCTTCTATACCATATTTTTTGGTCTCGTTATCATTTCTGTGTCTGTTTATTTCGTTAACTGTCTGTTTTTGTTGTTGTCTGTCTATCTGTTATCTGTCTGCTTGTGTGATAAAAATTCTTAAGGGAAGTGATATGATGGATTTAAATATCTCGTGTTGTATCTCAGTTGGTGAGAACACACTTGGGCTTCCACACAGGTTAATGTATCAGGTGACAGGTATCTCCTTTACTCTTGTGGTGAATTTATATACCTTGTCTTGGTCGTCTTTTAAATCAGGTAGATTTTTTATACGTTCAATAGTTAGAAATACGTGTGTGTGTGTGTGTGTGTGTGTGTGTGTGTGTGTGTGTGTGTGTGTGTGTGTTTGTGTATATGTAAATAATAATATAATAATAATATAATAATTGACGGTTTATTGAAAAGTTCTGCAGCGAAGGCTGAAAATATACATTGGACATAAATGACTTATTACATACATTGGTGGTTTAACAAAAGCCTTCATTATAGAAAGGTAAAGGAACATACAGTGAACATACAGATTAATGTAGGTGTTGAACAGCAAAAACGTAGTGTAGTAACTCCCTCCCAGATGGTGTTGAGGGACCTCACGTGGTGTATTTCCTCACAGATGTGTTATGAGGGGCCTCACGTGGTATAGTAATTCCCTCACAGATGGTGTTATGAGGGCCTCACGTGGTGTGTAATTCCCTCACAGATGGTGTTATGGGGGCCTCGTGGTGTAATTCCCTCACAGATGGTGTTATGAGGGGCTCGTGGTGTAGTAATTCCTCACAGATGGTGTTATGAGGGGCCTCACGTGGTGTAGTAATTCCCTCACAGATGGTGTTATGAGAGCTCACGTGGTGTAATTCCCTCACAGATGGTGTTATGAGGGGGGCCTCTCACGTGGTGTAGTAATTCCCTCAGATGGTGTTATGAGGGCCTCACGTGGTGTAGTAATTCCCTCACAGATGGTGTTATGAGGGGCTCACGTGGTGTGTAATTCCCTCACAGATGGTGTTATGAGGGGCCTCACGTGGTGTGTAATTCCCTCACAGAGGGTGTTATAGAGGGGCCTCACGTGGTGTAATTCCTCACAGATGGTGTTATGAGGGCCTCACGTGGTGTAGTAATTCCTCACAGATGGTGTTATGAGGCCTCACGTGTGTAGTAATTCCCTCACAGATGGTGTTATGAGGGGCCTCACGTTGGTGTAATTCCCTCACAGATGTTGTTGGGGGCCTCACGTGGTGTAGTAACTCCTTCACATATAGTTATGAGGGGCCTCACGGTGTAGTAATTCCCTCACAGATGGTGTTATGAGGGGCCTCGTGGTGTAGTAATTCCCTCACAGATGGTGTTATGAGGGCCTCGTGGTGTAATACTCCCACATATATGGTGTTATGAGGGCCTCACTTAGTGTAGTAATTCCCTCACAGATGGTGTTATATGGTGAGGTGTGGTTCAGGCCTTCCTATCGTAGACTGTGTGAAGGTCAACTTGGGTACCACTGTTTCTGTTGAGTTGTTCTCACTGACTTAAGCACTGTTCACCACTGTTCACCTCTGTTTAACACTGGTTCAATTCCTTTCCTAAATGAAATAGTAACTTCTGGCGAGAACTTGTTGATATTCCGTGGGGAGGAGGGTTCAGGAGGGGTTAGAGCAACAACAGTTGGACTGGCAGCTCCCCGAGAGGAGTGCCAGGTACGTCTTACCCTTCCGTGTCAGATGTGTGTGTGTGTGTGTGTGTGTGTGTGTGTGTGCGCTAGGATCACATACTGGGCCACACAACCACACCAGTTTATCTTCCACTCCCCAAAATAATTTAAATAAAAATAATTCATAGAAAACAAACATTCTCAGAAAAAAAAAAACTATTTTATTACCATTCTGAAATAATGATCACCAAACTACAATACATTACAATACATTCATACATCTTGATCAAATACACCAATAAATTGTACAATACGCACTTCTGTGAAAAATATAAGTAAATAATATTGAAATTTAGTAAGAACAAATAATTTGGTTAAGTTTAATATATTATACTAAAATAATTATTGACAGCAAATATAAACATTAGCTGATTTTAGTAAATTATAGAAAATAGATCAATAACTTACACTGAATAATACATTAATTAATTCTAGATACTTTACTACACTCTGTTAAACCACACTTACGAGGTTTATATAAGTATACTGGCCTTATTAGGTTTATCTGTTTAACACCCAAAAAAATATCATAGGGTAATTAGAATTTTTTGAATCGGGTTTTTGAAGTAGTGAATATCAAGTTCAGATTTTGAGAAGGGAAGGTAATTTATTGAGTCAGGTCGTTATGAAGGTCGTTTAGTAAGGCGCCTAAGTAAGTCAGGTATTTTAGTAGGGAAGTGTTTATAAGTCGTTGAAGTAAGGAGGTTTATAGGTTCTCGCTAAATCAGGGTCGTTTAGTAAGTTAGGGTCGTTTAGTAAGTCGAGGATGCGAGCGCGAAGTCGTTATAGGTCCTGGTCGTTAAGTTAAGGTCATATCGCAGCAAGCAGGTTAGATCAGGTTATCATTATCTCAGGTTAGGTTAGATTAAAGCTATCTTTAGGTCAAACGAGCTTAGGTTAGGGTCAATTATGTACGTCTGCCAGTAATTGTCAAGCAGTATTTACATACGCCTGGCAAGCCCTCACCGACCGCCCGTACTGAGGCTGCTGCAGCTACAGATCTCGCACGGCGGTGCTTATTCTGGTCACATTGTTTAAGGTGTCCCTCAGTACCTGGCTGTTAGGGAAGGTAATGCCGAGGTCAGTTGATGTAGTCAGATAATGAAGGTCTAAATGATAGATACAGTGGTTGAATTTCTCTTGATGGCATCTTGAATACTTAGGAATGGAGAGGTCGTAAGGTCAGGTCAGGTCAAGTGGTCATTGATTTAGAGATACGAACCCATATTAAGATTAAAAACACCACTAACATCCAATGACAATTATAGAATACGTGTTTTAAGAGACACGTCGCAATCTTTGTTTGTTCCAGTTAGAATTCATCTCTCTCTCTCTCTCTCTCTATTCATCTATCTATCTATCTATCTATCACTGTACCTGGGGAGCTCGCTGAGTATCCCTGAGACCGGTTTGTTTACATATCTTGCGTCTGGCAGGTGAGCCTCGCACACCACACGGCGCCGACACTGTTCCCTGATATCGTACAGCGCCCAAGCCTCTTCCAGGAGGTACAACACATTGACGAAGTCGCTCTTGGTATGCATGCAGCTGTCTGTTGAGATGGAGATATAAAGATAGGGAGATAGAGAGATATATAAAGGAGGAAGAGAGATAAAGATAGTGAGATAATCCTGTATTGCTGGTGATGTCATAAGAGGCTGGAGTTAATGATACGATATTTAAACAACATGCATCCCTGTGTCTTCAGGTAAATGTGGCAGTGGCAGAGGCCCACAGGTGTTAGTGGTGATCAGTGGTGTAGTAGTAGTAGTAGTAGTGTGTGGTATTAGTAGTCGTATAGAAGTGGTAGTCGAAATAATAATAATAGTAGTAGTAAGAGTAGTATACTAGTAGTAGTTGTAGGTAGTAGCCAAAACTAGGACTTCCCGACAGTAACTAGGCCATGGACTTACGTTCATTCTCCCGATCCCTCCGGTACGACGATTGGTAGTAGAGTAGTA